TACGAAAACATTGGTGAATGCCACAAATTCTCCTAAATCACTCGTACGCACAACTTAAGAACAAATCTGTGCGTACGAACGGTTCTTGCATGAGGACCATTGTTTCTCATTTTCCTGCACATAGGGAAACTGATAGTCTGGCCCAGTGGTTCCCAAAGTGTGGGTTTACACCAGCTGCACTTAAAATAATTACACTAAAGGTAGTTTGTTGTTTTTGTTGTTTACATAAGGTTGTAGTTCATTTTACTGCAGCTGTAATTTATTTCACTTTACGGTTTTAAGTTCAGTTGTTCAAAAATGGTTGACATGTGAAATAAACTGCAGTGTGGCAGAAATGTTTTAGAACCTAAAAGGGGCCCTGTCAGAAACAGTGTGGGAAACATTGCCAAATGAAGACCTTTTTGAAATTGTTTTTCAGGCTTATAAAATAACTTTTTCCCAAAAGCAACATATCGGTGAGAAATAAGGCTACATTAGCAAATATTACACCAATGCATTTTTTTTTATTTTGTCGCTCTTTTCTCAGCTGTTGCTACGCAAATTTTAATGTTCACTGACCCTAGATAAATGGCTGTCCACCTGATCATCACATTAATGCAAAGGTTTACTCAACTCCTGGTGCGCACTGATATATTCAGCATCATCAGGACATTGACATGGTTGTTATTCAGCACACATATGTAGTCACATTAACAACTGTTTGAGAAAACAGCGATAAACTAAACAAACAGCTTGGATGAGATCCTAAATTTAGCATGCTATGTAGAGGGCGACATGAATTACTTCAAGGAATGCTGGTAAATATTAGGAACTTATTGCTTTGAATTTCACTATGGCAATAACACCCTCAGGTCTTGCATCTTGTCTCTTTGCTGAGTCTTTTAGTGTGCCTGGGTCCTGGCCTTAAGCTTGACCTAAAGTAGCCTGTGTGTTGTTTATGTCTCAAGCAGCACTTAAAACCCTGACAGGAAATCCATATCTCAAGTGTTACAGTCATCAGCGCAGGGAGGTGGATAAAGGGCTAACACTGAGTGGGTCAGAACTGTCTGTGGGGAATAGCATGTATAAGGGGAACAGAAGTAGGCAGAGCAAAGCAGCGCAAATAGGTATGTTACGGTATTCTGCACAAAAGGAAGGACAGAAAGACAATAATATGTTCAAAGGAAAGGCATGAAATATTAAAGGGGAAGCCACAGTGAGAAGAATAAATTAGATTAATAAAAAAGGAGAAAATAGAGGGGGGGCATTTTAGGCGGTGGAATAAGGCAGAGAAAAGAAAGAAAGGAGAGATAGTCAAGAGGCTACATGGACAAAATGGAAAAAAAAAAAATAAAGTATCAGCGAGTTGATTGACGTGCCTGTTCTGTCCTAATGAGGTGAGACTGCCAATGACTAGCACACTTCACTCACACTCTCACACTCCTGCCAGCTGACACTCCAAACATAATTAAGTGGACGTAGATAAGTTCCTGGTCGAAAATAAGTCTCATTTTGTGACTTGTGATACTCTGAGTAATGGCAGTGACAGGAAATGCCCTAAAAGCTAGGAAGTGGGGAAATGATTTTAGTATTTAAATGCAACAATCAGGATTCTGGGTTCAATCATAAATATTTTTTCTATGAACTTGGTCTTAGTGTTTCTTATGAAGCCCGTCGGGTGACGTTGGATTTAAAAGAAAATTCATTTGTGGCCACAATATTGGAACTTGTGTCCAAGAGTTATGGAAAGACTGTTGTTTACACGGACAAGTCTGAATTTGATTTCAAATCAATTTTAATATAGGAATGAATGACATTCAGTCACTTCTGGTTAGGCATGATGCAATTCTTTGCAATGTACATTGCAGCAATAAGACACAGGTGGCAACTGGAATTGTCTTTGTCCAAAAATCACATCTTTTTAAAGCTCAACTCTCAAAAYGGGCTCCTCTCTCACCATCTGCCTTTGCTGCAGAAAGACTCAGAGTTATGTCATGCTCAAGAACATAGTAAAAAAAGGCAGTTTCCTGTCACACACCTATGATATTCATTGTCATCTTGTAAATACTGGTACTATAAAAAAATGGACCATGCAGTGAACCATGGCGGTAGACTCTTTGGATAAAAGATGGGCTCTGTATTTTTTACTGACCTTAAAAGGCACATTAATGGCTATAATTCTGTCAATTTTACAAATCCTGAGCTCAAATTTGGAGTGGTAGTAGTTGAGACTGATCATCATCACATAATCTGAGTGCTAAAAGATGACAGAGCATTCAGATATTCCATCAACTATTCAAAGTCAGATCTAATCATTTGCAAAATAACTCATGAAATACAGGGTGGAGTTTAAAGGAATAACCTCTCCTTTTGTCCTTGAACATTTTTATTTAACCATTAAAACTAATTGTAGCAAAAACACATTATTGTTAAAGCTAATTCAATATAAGGTGATGTTTTAGCTCCAACACATAATTTTAAGGATGTGAGAAATTTGTTAAAACGAAGATGTATTTGCATCTGGGATAAAAAAAAAGAACGATTATAAAACACGGTGAAATATGATTAAAATAATTTTTGCTGATAAAAGACAAATGTTTTCACCCACTGAGCTTTTCATTTTGTCACTTTCAGCTGTTCTGATTTCAGGTTTGTTGTTGGAGAACAGATGGTGACAGAAAAGTGGATCACCAGAATGACGATGATGAATGATGAGCTTGCAGTATTTACTGCGACAGCTAGAGTGTTTTGGCTCTTTATGAGGAAAAAAGACCTTTTAGCTGCGTGTGCAAAAGTTCACTTATATTATTTTTTTATTTTTGCTGGTATTGCAGTGACTCATTATTGCCTTCTCCCTTTTCTTCTTTGACTGAGTGTTCCTATCAAACTAATACAAATGTTGATACGCTCACCTTCAAATAACCCATACTGGATCAGCGGGAAAACCAACCACCTCAAATAAAATGTGCATATTTTTCATCAGCTCTGTAGTGCTGTTGATCCGTCTAGACTGTTTTRGTGTTAGTCACTGAATTTATGAATAAATTGTTCCAAGAGATGTCTGCGTTTTCTGAAAACGATCAGACTTGAACTCTGTGGTGCTCAAAGTGGAAAAGACTGCATCAAAACAATCTAAATAATCCACAATCTGATCATTTACCTGTACCAACCTTTTGTCTTTTTACAAAGTGAAAACCATCAGATAAACATTTCTTGAAAAAATGCATAAAATAATAATAATAATATAAAGATCTTGTGTGATCTTCAAGTGCTCCAAACATGTGCTGTTGATGACTCTCAGTTATGACCAAATTTCAACTCAGTATTTATCAAATTGGCCAGGTTATCATTTTTGTAGTGTTTTATTAGGATCCATCTAGTGGTTTCTATTAACTAGTCCCAGTGTTGTGCTATATTTCCTCACTTCTAATTTCTTCACTCACATATACAGTACTTCATCTATAAATGGCCATTCAGTATAATTAAAAAAGCTATTTCATCCCTATGCTTTTCTGTTTTTTGGTGTTAGAAGACTATTGTCTGGTCTTTTGATCTACTTCAAAGAACTGCAAGGTTGGTGTTCTGCTACAATAAAATATTGATTGTTTCAAAGTCCAGCCTTCTCAGTTGTTGTGTACTTGGGCAAGACACTTCACTCGCTTGCCTACTGATGGTGGTCAGAAATCAGTCAAAGACATGGTAACATAAAGACAGTCAGGAACATCCCTTCAGCAAGTTCCTGACCATCCTCATCCATGTATCCCTTCAGGTTGCCAGGGGCTGCTCTTTCAGCTGGCAGGTGTGGTGCCCAGCCCTCTGCTTTTGGAGCTGCTCAGCTGTCCTCTGTGCGCCCGGAGCCTCGAGACATTAGAACTGGAACTAGGAGACCTGGAGGCAGGAAAGAGCGAGGCTGACGGACTGCATGATTTCCCCCAGGTCAGAGTGGACGGTGGCACATTCTGTACTAGGAATTGTCACTCATTTAAACTTGAAAATGCTGTGAAATATATGTTTTAAAACAAAAACTTAGCAAAAAACATCAGTAAATGCTAAACAGAAACTGTTCATTTGTTTTTTCTTCCAGGGGAGTGATCTAAGGGGATGTAGAGGCCATTTTCGACGACGAAGGTTTGCGGAGTACAGGCATGGAGCCTTTCGGGCCTGGATGCATTTCAGGGAAAAACTGAGACGGATAGTTGAAAGCAAATATTTCAACCGAGGGATTATGATTGCCATTCTTGTCAACACCCTCAGCATGGGGATAGAGTACCATGAACAGGTAAGATGCAGGGAAGCAGGTGTCTGTTTGCATTAGTTCTTTGGTAAATAGAACTTGCTGAGGCTTAAAATTTTCAAATCCTTCAGCTGAAKAGAGAGACTTGCGCAAGACCCAGGAGGTTTAATGAGAACTGTTGGCAACTGTGTGTGAAAATTGTAGTTATCTTAGAATCTTAGGAAGGAGAGGAGACCAGGGGTGAGTGACTGCAGGATGAAGGTAAACGAGTGTAGCATCCAATCTCCCCCACAATTTATCCCTCTTTACTCACCCACTGAGACAGTGTCTCAGAGTCCTGGCTTGTGTTTCTGACTTGGGTCTCTCTGGCCAACATCTGGAAAGTTTTGGTCCGTTCACATTTTTCCTTCTCCCGTATATGTCCTTGCATCCCTCTCCTCTAATTCCTTCTCGACGAGAAGTGTGTGTATTTCTGTCTTTTTGGTGTAAACATTAGGAGTAACTGGGTGAACCATTGCCTTTTTAGGGCTGTACCACACACATACAAGCACACATAAACACACTGTAGTGTTATTTATGAGCTTCTTCTTCCTGTAGTGCTTACCAGCCTCCTCCTTTTGTGACACCTAGCCAAAGTTTTTAAGACSTGGTGTGTGAAGGCCTCCACATACTTCAGCCGAACTGCCGAAATCAGCAGTTGCAGTTCCATGATACAAAATATGTCATTTTGTTTGCAGCTTTGGGTGTTTCACCTGTTTTTGTCACAACCCACCAGGAGACATGTTCACCTCCTCTTCCACACAAGAAATCATTATGTGATTGGTCAGAAGTTTGCAGGCGTGTTTGTTTATCCTGAAAGCTCTGTCGGTGCATTTTGCTTCTATTACTTGCTTCCAGAATCTGGCTGTTGTACCTGAAAGCAGACATTTATAGAAATAGTCAAATGGCCAACAACTCGTGTGTAAGAAAATTACACACGATTCTTCAATAAACTGAAGTCGATATTAAAAACACCATTGTWAAATAAAATGATTTGTGGAAGGAATCAAACCATACAACACCAGAATTCTGGATCTGAGTGAGGTTTATTGTCACTCGAGCTGACAGGAAACCAACACTGGCAAAAAACCAGGAAGTTCATCAATTTATACAGGTTCTTCGATGCCTGCGTTCACCCCCTACTGACCTACGGCTGAATCGCAGGCATTCAGACAAAATTCTCAGCTAATGTCATCACAACGCTTAATTATGTGTTTTCACAGATATTTCGGACACGTAACTAATCTATTATCAATCAAAACATAATAGATTAAACACTGTCAACATTACAAAAAGGAAAACCTAATAATATAGTGTTGTGCTTTTAACATCAGTACTAACCTCTAATAACTTTAAATTTCTTCACGTGGATGGAGAGAGCACAGATGTTGTGCACGGAGGAATCCATCGGACAAAAACTGTAGAGCATAACTGGGACGGCCAATTACGGCCAATGTTAGAAGTTTTGTTTTGTTTTGTTTTTCTGGAGTGTAGACTCCATCAGGAAGGGCACCTGTGTACCGCAACAGGGGTGGTTTTCCATGAGTTCAGTGCAGTGAGTCTCAGGAGGTGTGCGAAAACGAACATCAAACAACCATGTGACTKCATGTCGACTAGTCTGCTTTGAATCGAGTACACTGAGCCCTTTTGTATGTGCAAAGTGGTGTATGGATGTAAATGCAAGGCTGACAGTGAATGTGAGTGATTGTTTTGGTTTGGTTCAAATAAAAAAAAAAGAAAAAGGGAAAAAAACTATTAAACTCAGGCTGATTATGTTCAAACGCCAACATTTTGAACTCTTTACCTAATATTCATACTGTGAATTTTGGTTCATAAAACTAAAACACACTCTCTTCTGCAGAGATTCTATGCCATTTTGCGCAGAGAAAATTACTTTTATCCCTTTTTCAGCGTGGTTTTACAGTGCGTTGCTGATTCACAATCAAGGTTGTTCCTCTGCTTTGCAAGGGAAGCTGTGTGTGTGTGGGTGTGAAAGCCTGAATGTCTGTTGCAAGTTTCTTCCTCGTATTCAGGCAAGGTCATATTTAGAGCTTTATTCATAAGTCTGAACACTCAAAATACCTCTTTGTAGGCACTGTTTTTTTTTTATTTCGACTTATTATATAAAATAAACTTTGAATATTTGTGATGAAAATAGTTCAAAAACTAAGGTTGTGTCCACACAGGAACAGTATTGTGAAAACTTTTTGCCACATTAGCCTTGCAGCTACATGGAAACAGTGTTTTAAGACATTCAAAGCAGTGTGATTTTGAAAAAAAATTCTATCTACTTCTTGAAAACAATGATGTTATATAAACTATGACCTGAGGGTGTCTTTTCATCTGTATTTGTGTTAAGGCTTTAAGCTCTAAGTGCAAGCTTGTTACCTTGTTCTGTTTTTTGTTGTGTTTTCATGGCAGCATTACAGCACTATACAGACTTTGTATAGTCGCAGTGTTTTGGGTCATCGTCAGTGTTTCCATGTAGATAAAGACATTTCTAGAAACAGTGATGCCTTTATAAATATAGTTTGAGTAACGTCATATAAAAAGATAATTTTGGATAAACTGCTTT